CTTTTCTTGAGTTGTTGATCTTTTTCTAATTGAATTCTAAAGGTTCTTTAAATATTAGGAAATTAGCTCTTATGTGAGTTGCAGATATTTTTTCCCATTTTTGTCATTTGTCTGTTTTTCAAATTTAAGAGACATAGTTTCCCTATGTTACCTAGGCTGGCCTCAAATTCCTAGGCTTAAGAAACCTTCCCACCTCAGCCTTCTGAGATGCTGAGATTACAAATGTAGCCCACCCCACCTTGCCATGGCTTATAGTTATTTTCTGTATATTGTTAGTTTTAAACATTTTTTTTTTTTTTTACATTTAAGTTTTTCCTGATGTAAGGTTTGAGAGTGGATTCAAGTTTACATTTATTTAAGTTGGCTACTGCGCAGACCTAATAAAGATTGAGTTATTCAATAAACTGTCCCTTCTTGCTTTGAAATGCCCCCTCAATCATGTGCTAAATTCTCCTATGTATTTGATTACTTTCTGGATTTTTTTTTTTTTGTTACTGTTCTTACCCATGGATTTATCTGTTTATTCTCGTGCTAGTCTTAGATTATTCTAATTATTGTATTTGGTAACATGTTTTCTTCTCATCCCACTCCTTTTTTTAGAAATTTCATGGCTCTTCTGGCTTGTTTTTAAACTCAGTATTTTAGAAGTTTTTGGTTTGTATACTAAGAATTTAACTTCAGTTCCAAGAATTTCTGCACTTCTGTGTTTATGCATGTAGTCAGAGGGTTAATATCAGGATGTTTGCCTAACTATATTAAATGAGTTATGCCTTGCTTAGTGATGGGGATACGTTCTGCAAAACATGGAATGCTGGGCAATTTTGTCATTGAGTACCACAGAATACACACAAAGCTAGAGTATTCTGTGTCATTCTTTGTGTCATTGAGTACACAAAGCTAGATGGCATAACCTACTATACACCCGGGCTATATGGTACAGCCTACTGCTCTTAGGCTACAAACCTGTATAGTATGTCTCTGTACGGAATACTATAGGCAGTGGTAACAAGATGGTGAGTATTTGTGTATCTAAACATAGAAAAGGTACAGTAAAAATATAGTATCATACTCTATGGGGTCACTATCATATATGTGGTATTTCATTGACGGAAATGAAAATGTAAACACATGTTAAGTGGTGTTAACCTATATGTTACTTTTTGAAGTTGAACTGAAGGTGCCATTACTGGTCAAGTGTATCTAGACTTGCTTCACACATTCATTTTTCTGGCAATTTATATACTTTTTGGAAATGATTGATTTTACCTCCAACAAGATCTCTTAAAATATGTATACAATTTTTTGGCATCCCCAGTATTTTTATTAGCATTCAGTTACCTTTTTCTTGGTCTCACTTGTAGACTTTCTTCTGTAATATTTCTGTGTTAGTTAGTGCTCCATAATCATTGATGCTGCTTAACTCAGTGAAGATGTTTTTGTTTCATTGGAATTTAGATGAATGTCTAGTAAATATAAAATCATGTCCTGTGTGCATTGGAAACCAGCATTTTGTAAGAATGTATTTAAATCCACAGGCACCTTTTTCTTCATTGCTTGTTGATGTGAGGATTTCACCTCTTCATATGCTATGCTTTCCTTTTTTAGCATGATACCAGTAGTCCTTTGCTAATCAGTGGAACCTCTGCAGCTGAGCTGCCATGGGCAGTAAAAGTAAGTAAACTTTTTAAAACGGTAATTTTGATTTCAGAATATTAGGGAGTGGCTTGGCTCATGTAGCTCAGTGGCTAGGGCACCAGCCACGTACAGCGGAACTGGTAGGTTCAAACTCATCCCCAGCCTGCCAAACAACAATGACAACAACAACCAAAAAATAGCTGGGCACTACAGGTGGTGGGCACCTGTAGTCCCAGCTACTTGGGAGGCAGAGACAAGAGAATCGCTAAAGCCCAAGAGTTTGAGATTGCTGTGAGCTATGACAGCATTCTACCAAGGGCGACATAGTGAGACTCTGTCTCCAAAAAAACCAAGAAAGAATATCAGGGAGTAGAAATGTTCTTGTTACGTGGATGAATTGTGTAATAGTGTACATATCCAATAGGTAAGGTTTTACCCCTCACTTCCCTCCCACCCTCTCCCCTTCTTAGTTTCCAGTGTTCCTTTACATCACTTTATGATCATGTGTATCCATTCTTCAGTTCCACTTAACTAGTGAGAACATGTGGGGTTTGTTTTTCCATTCCTGAGACACTTCACTTAGGACAATGTTCTCCATTTCCATCTAAGTTGCTGCAAATGACTTTATTTCTTTCCTTTTTATGGCTGAGTAGTACTCTGTGGAATGAATGTATATGTGTGTGTGTGTGTGT